TCCTTGTTCCTAGTAGCGATGCCAGAAGCCCGTAGTAGCATCCTTGTTCCTAGTAGCGATGCCAAGAGCCCCTAGTAGTGTCCTTGTGCCAGGAGCCCCTGGTAGCGTCCTTGCTCCTAGTAGCTGCCAGGAGCCCCTAGCAGCGTCCTTGTTCCTAGTAGCGATGCCAGGAGTCCCTAGTAGCGTCCTTGTTCCCGGTAGCGATGCCAGGAGCCCCTAGTTAGTAGCTTCTTTGCTCCTTTTGCAGCCAAGTCAACCAAGTCACATATTTGGGGAAACCCAACTTGCCATGGCCCCTCACGAAGGGTGCCGTCTGTATATCGTCTTCTCGCATGGTGGAACTAATTGAGAGTTGATTCGAGGGCGAGTTGTCGAAGCGGTACAGGTCAAAGCTGATGCTGTGAATGTCCTCCATTCGTTTGCCTCCCGGACTGGCAATGTGGCACCCAATAACGGCGTAACGGTGATGGATGTGAATGGATGCGCGCACCTGAAGACCCAACAATATATTGCGTTTATGGATTTGGTCGTTTTCTGTCTGCGTGCGTCCTTCTCCGTCACTCGGTGTTTTCGACGCAACCATTTTCACAATTCATAAATAGTTACCTATAACGAACAAGCAGAAGTTGCACGGCGCGGCAAGCTGGGGCAATCTGTGAAACATTTTGCGATGCTCCTCATGTATCAAGCTTTGCTCAAGAACTAGGACTCATTAGGACTCTATACAAGTCAAAAGCACGCTCTCGTGTAACTAAATTTAAGCAGGAACTAAGCTCCGAGTGGAGTTTACGCTGTCTCCCTCAATGCTTTGCAGCAGCTTTCTCGTCTCACATAAACTAGAACCTATATGGACCTAAATGTTAATTGCAACTCTAAAGGCTGCTGAAAAAATGTGAAGTGCACCCCAACTCAATACTGTAACTGTGCACTGCCACAACGCCATACCATCCCACTGGGCGTGGAGTGCGATCCAGGTAACAGGGGCAACTTGCTTTAATTCCACTTCAGCCGGTGTTTCGTTTCAATTGCAGTACTAAAGTGTCTCACCACGGATTATTTTCATGGCAAGAACTTCACCTTTCCGGTTTCCTCTGAAATCTTCTTGAGAATTCTAGTCTGAAGTCTGAAGACATCACCATTCCGCTCCTCTGTGCTGGCTGCGCTAAAGAAGCACGTTCAGCGAATTTGCCTGGTCTCCCGTAACTAACTTAATAACAAACCAACTGGTCAGTCGAAACACAAATTCTTATACTGAAGAACCATGGCTTTACTAAGAATTTTACACCACAAAAACCGATCACCCATTTGAAACATATTTAAACATGATCTTGGACTTCCAGGGGTGTATAGATGTTTTGTTTTTTCATCAGAGACCTGCCCTGGGAACGGACGGCTGCCGGACCCTGCCATTGGCGACGCCAGATTGAACGTGTGACGAACACCAAAATTTTCCCCGCCGCCGACCTGGTGGCGACCGACCGCCACGGAAGCGGCCGTGTTGGACCGCCGCTCCGTTCAGTCCATCGCGCGCGCGCAGAGCGCACGGTGACCCCGAAAGGGCCGGTCTAGCCGACTTCTGTGGGAGGTCGCTGGAGAATGTGCCGCAGCAGCTTAAGTTGATGTAGTCTGATGTCATCACTAGCTCAGCCAAATTTCTTCGATCCTGCTGAATTGGAAACAGTCACCAAGATGCATCTCCTATAGGTTTCGACAGATTTTGCCGTGAGAGAGGTTCACTACTTGCAGCCTTCCGAGCACAAGAATTTTCGGATTCATCAACGATCAATGTGGAGGATCTTACGGGTTGCGATTGTCACACCTCACGAGCAGTGCACATGTGGTTCGGCTTCACCCTGCCTCTCAGTCCGAAAATCCACACCCGAACTGCATGAAGGGCTTTAGGCTTTAGTGCTATAACTAGACACTGCATGTATGGAATTTTTGCCTAATTACATTGGTCCCCGGAACCGCCCCAATGCAGGCAAATATGGCAGTCCATGGAGTGTCTGGGTAAAAGTGATGCCTGGACTTGATACCTCACCCAGTTGACCCCTGCTTGCTAAAGACGATTGATTCGGTTGCCCGCCCCCTTTGCTTTTGTCAATGATTGCCGGCTGGAGGAATTGATTGACTGCTTCCACTGTTGAATTCGCCGGCTCACGGGTTGGCGTGCGTGAAGGCCACACCCTGTCTGAGACAGGGACCTTCCATTCACTTTTACTTGGAATTATGTGCGCGTTCTTCTTTTAAGGGGGGAGGCCGTAGTAGGGAGGTAGCTCCAGGCAGCTATTAGGGAGAGGTAGCTACTACCTGCAAGATAGCCCACGCTTCTTCCAGGAAGCTCCACCCCACCGCCCTAAGCGGGGCACCACTGATACCACCCGTCCAATTAAAAGGGTGTCAGTGGGTGCTGACACAGTGGGAAACACTCCACTGCGTACCTGCCGTTTTTAGACTTTTGGTGATGCAGAACAGTTTGTTGTTTCGTTGGCTATTTTGCAGGTCTGTTGCCAGGTCGAGGTTGTGTGCATTAGATTAGGTTGGTGATTGGTTGTGTTTCATCCTTCTTTTTCATTGTCACTAATTCTGCAGTGCTATTATAATGCTTTTGAGAGCTCTCACTGCGTGTGTGTGTGTGTGTGTCCACCCCTGGACAAAGGGTAATTTCCACCGATTCAACTACCACTCGTTTCACCACGGATCCACAAGCAGGGGGATGGAGAGGACATGTGAGGCTCCATCCAACGAAGCTCCTCACATGATCCTAGGATATCGGCAAGGACGCTTGCCGACGTACCTGCGCCGTGACAACACTCCACTCTTCCTTGCTGTGTTTTGATGCCATGGTCCTTCATGCTACCACCCCGAAACAGGTTTCCCTCCGCAGATCTGCAGCAGCTTAGCCGCCGCTTTGAGTGCCACTGAAAACACGGTTAAACCATACTGTTGTCGCCGACTCTTCCACCTTGCGGTTCTGTCACCTTCCTTCCCATCGGGAAATTGAGTTAACTGAATACAAGTGTCAGAGTGTGTTTCGCTCAGCCGTCCCACTCGGGTGCTGAGTGTGATCCCCGTCACAGGGGCGCTGATTTTGCATGGGAAAGCAACAAACACAAAGCACCACTACTCATCGGACCCTCACAGGCAGTCACCGACACCCTCACAGAATCAACTGATTGATTGGCCGCCGGGCCTAAACACGGCAACATTTCCTCCACTACATTTCGATCGAGTCTTGCAAGGATCTGGCATCAACTCAGTCTCACAACACACTCTCTGTCAACACGAGCGATCAGATTTTCAATTGAATGGCCGCCGGGCCTAAACACGGCAGCATTTCCTCCACTACATTTCGGTCGAGTCTTGCAGGGTTTTGCATGTAGGGTTTTGCATGATTTTGCATGTAGTGGCTTGTTTGACCTGTACCATAACTTTTCCGCCAGAAGAACTCAAACCCGCATACCGGAGTTCTCAAATCTAATTCGAGATGCATGACCACACATGACAACAAGCTTACGCTCCGCTCAGCCTCACAACACACTCTCTGTCAACACGAGCGATCAGGCTGCTGCTGCCGAGTTAGTGAGGCTGTATGTCCAAAAAGGACACAACCATCACGCCTGCCACCGGTTTTTGAAAAAAGCGCCGAAGACGGCGACCTGTGTGTGTCCACCCCTGGACAAAGGGTAATTTCCACCGATTCAACTACCACTCGTTTCACCACGGATCCACAAGCAGGGGGATGGAGAGGACATGTGAGGCTCCATCCAACGAATCTCCTCACATGATCCTAGGATATCGGCAAGGACGCTTGCCGACGTACCTGCGCCGTGACAACACTCCACTCTTCCTTGCTGTGTTTTGATGCCATGGTCCTTCATGCTACCACCCCGAAACAGGTTTCCCTCCGCAGATCTGCAGCAGCTTAGCCGCCGCTTTGAGTGCCACTGAAAACACGGTTAAACCATACTGTTGTCGCCGACTCTTCCACCTTGCGGTTCTGTCACCTTCCTTCCCATCGGGAAATTGAGTTAACTGAATACAAGTGTCAGAGTGTGTGTTTTCCTGAAAGTCGACGTCCTCTCACCAGCTCTTGTCACTTGCCTTCCACCAGGACCCTGGTGACCATTGTTATTCAATTACACCACCCTCCAGCCTTCATGGCGAACAATGGCATCCCACACGGTGCGGAAATAGTTCTGCGGCACCGAAGTGTCGCCGAAAAGCTCGCTCGGTCCGGTGACCCGGAAATACTCATCCTGGTCCACAGATGGCATCACCCACGTGGCATGGTTCCTGGGATGCGCCTGAAACGCAAAATTAGACCAACGCATTACTAGTAGCTTCTTGCTCCTAGTAGCGATGCCAGGAGCTACTATATAGTAACTTCTTGCTCCTATATAGTAGCGATGCCCTTTGTTACTAGTAGCTTCCAGTTGCCTGCCCCATTTCCACAAAAAGGCAGCTCACCAATGATACAAAACATGTAAAGGAGCATCAAACCAGGCGTCTTGGACCGGTACAAGCAATCGGTCATGCTCCAGTAGTGCCGCAGCCGGTGAAAGTCAGGACGCGTCTTGAAGTGGATCCGGGTTGCTGCCCCTGCCAGGAGGTATGGCTTCAATATCTCCTCATAGACATCGTCCACAGTGCCGAAGGTATAGACGAAGAAGTGATCCATCCCATGGTAGAGATGAAACTCTAACCTTAGCATAACATTTTGTGACTTGCGAGGGGCAATAAGTGTACAAAGTTATACAAACTTCCCTTGAGGTGACTTTTTAAAACTTCGGTCACCGGAAACCTGTCTGTCACCGTTTGAGGAGGAACTCCTGGGTTTCCGAAGTGCTACGACTCTCCAGAGACTGTTTGGCCGAAGAACCACTCGACAAAGTGCTTGTACGCAAGTGTCTCCGAGGCCTCTTGCAACGCAAAAATGTCGCGCACGCAAGCAACGCTCTGGTGCTTTGCGGATGGCTTGTTGTGGTTCACCGAAACCTTCCCCAAAACCTTCCCCTCGTCATTCTCCAAGAAGACCTCAAAATTTTCCAACTCGCTCTGCTCCTGCAAGCGTGGAAGCAAGACTTCATCAAGGCAGCACGGATTTGATCAAAAAGAACAATTTCCAAGCACCAGGTGGCATGGACTCATCAATCATTCACCCGCCAGTCTCCCTTTGTTGCCCTCTAACCGAGAAACATGAATTGATTTATACCGATTTACATTCGGTAGAGTATGTTAGGGAACAAGTGCAAAGGTATTTTGGTCACCCTTTTCCCAACCAACCTACGACAACAGTTGGGTCACACCCTCTCCTCGGGCCAGTCGCATTTCAAGATCAGGCTCAGTCGGATGCCTGTCTCCTTGCCATAGACTCGCAGCTGCGTTTTGTGCAAACCAGAGGCATCTGAACAATACCTGCATCCAGCATAGAAGTACAACCACCACTGACCGTGGGTGGTGCGACCAATGTTCACATTGGAAGAATGGGTCGGTTCACTGGCGCCGCGGGTCTCTTTTTTGGTGTTCGATGGCTGGAAGAAGATTCATTCTTAATGATACTAAATATACTATATATGTATATATCCCGATGGGTTCACTTCAAACACTGGGGCGTTTGTGAAGATCAACACGTTCTTTTGACGTTTTAGATTATATGTTTGGTCGACGATTCTTGTGGGGTGGGTCTCCTGATAACAATGGGGCCCAATGTAACCATGAACAATATCGATAACAATGTTGTTATGTGGATGACACTGTTGTGATATTGATGACTGACATTGATGACAATGTTGTGATAGCGATGACATACAATGTTGTGCATTCAACTTACTCCCACCCCGCCCCCCCACCACATCGATGACAATGTTGTGACGTTGACGACAATGTTGTGATACCGATGACAATGTGACAATGTGTGACAATGTTATATCATCGATGACATTGACGAACCCTCCAAGATACGTATGCCTTCTGCGTGTCGTAATTCAAGAAAGCTAGACAAAAGTGTACGGGGGCGTGTTCCTACCGCGCATAAATGTCCTTAGCAACCACTACAAAAAGTCTGTAAATAGCATGCCTATTTACAGCGGCCAAATGCATTGGGGTCTTAAACAAACCCGCCTGTATATATAGTTGCATACACATGTACATATGTCTGTCTGTATGTATGTACGTACGTATGTATGTGTAAATGGGTGTGGTGGAATAGGTCTTTTGAATGATTCTTGTCATGTGGGAAGTAGAACAAACACCGGGCTGGACATCGGTGCCAAGGTATGGACACCAACTTCGAACATCCAATGCCAAGCAGCAAAGCATACTCGTCGGTGTAGTTCCTTGGCAGTCTTTTTTCGTGTGTCATGCGATGTCATGTGTCACATGCCTTCAAAAACATTTGAGCTGCCTTATGCTGATGAGTGTTCTTATTGCACAACTTTCCGAGAGCCCATGTGGATCATGTGGCTGGTCTCTATCTTCGAAAAGGCCAAAGCGGGCGACAGAATTACTTCGGGATTGTTGATTGGTCGTGTGGAGCTAAGCCCTGATCAGTTAGAATTCTTTGGTGATTCTGACTCACAGTGAACAAAAATAAGAACAAATACACTCCGACTCACGAACAGTGGAAACGGAAAAAAACCTGTTTGGAGAGGAAAATGGTCTTCCCAATGACCATTTCCATGTTCGTGAGTCGGAGTGTGAACATCCTCCAGGCTTCGCGAGCACAGGGTCAAAGTCATGGAGCAAGGCGATGTAGTTCCCATCGGCGCCGAAGGTGGGCACTATGCTGAAAATCTGCAGCGTGTAGTTGATATCCTTCGCGATCTTCCAAACCTCGCAGCAGGCAAGCGATCGACGTAGAACGTGGATGAACAGTCGCTGGTCTGTCTGAGCTCCTCCGTCGAAGGGGGGTCGGCAAGCACTCCATGGGACTGCCATAATTGCCTACATTGGGGTGGTTTGGGGGGTCAATGCAGGCATATATTTATTCTATGGAATTTGGAATTGTTGTGATGGTTTTGGCGGGATCTCCTTGAGCCTACAGTCATTCAAATCCGAAGATGTTGTTCATTGTTGCATATATACGACGAATTAAATAGCAACATCTTCCGAACGCATGTTCTTTGTTACCTTCTCCGGGGCAGGACCATCTGGAGAAGGCTTGGTGGTCTGGGCTGAGGCTCGAGTCCATCCTGGTCAAATGGACGCTGCTGCTGCCGCACTGTTCCTATGCAAAGCAAACACAACGTTTTTTGTGCTGGTTGCATTCTGCTGTCCCGCCACGTGCGTGCCTAAGTATGTGTTGTTATTTGTTTATTGTTGTTGTGTTTAATGACCAGCTTCTGAAATTATATATATAGTATATAATATATACATGTTATGTTATAAAGATTATATACCTTTGTTAAGTTCCTTCTATCTACAGTAAACTAAAAAATCATTCTATATGGTAAGGTATTGTGTTCAATTGTGCTTGGAGAGTCCTTCTAAATCGCTGCTCGCCTTCCACTAAACTTGAAACGTCTTAAAAACAAACAATGTCCTGAAAGTGTAAGCAGTGTATATAAGTTGTATTCAATGTAGCCTATTGAGGCATCCATATTCCAAGTATTTTTTTGGGGAGCCAAGGGGTTGCAAAACACAATAACTTTCAATCCACATTATATATATTTCAGGCGCCCCAAAGCCCCAAGCGACCCGGAATCCATTAAAGCACTACATATAAAAAAAACAAAAAACAACTGAAAGCCAGCAAACAAATCGAAATCAAAAGCCCAACAGCCACAGAAGCGAGAGGCCACAACTCACAAAGAAACCGTCCAAAGTCAAAAGCCAAGAAGGGAGCAAAAGCCAAGAAGCCAAAGAAAAAAACAAAGTCAAAGCTAGAACCTACCGAAGGCAAATTTTAAAAAACAATCTAATGCCAATTACACATATACCATATAACAACATACAGTAAAACACCAAACTAAAAAGCATTCCCCCTCAAAGATGTTCCAAGGGCTGTGTGCATATTCTGTACCCTTGGCCATGTCCTCCCACCACCGAGCAGCAATCTCCTGCTGCTCGACGACAGTGTGCTGTACCACCGGCGCCCGTGCTTGGAGCAAACTGTTGCAATCTTCCTCGCAGGCCACCACCGCCCAGGCAGCCAAGGCCAGCGCGAGTGATTGCATCGGAAAACGCATGGGCCAAAAATGTTTCGATATCACAAATACGCTTGAGCCAAGGCAATGGTCAACTTCAAGTCTTCAACACACTCACCAATGGTGTTCCCAGGCCTTGTGGCCAGAATGTAATACAGAATCTTTCAGCGGGATCTTTTTATCTCAACGGGAACAACGACAAACTACGATTCTAGTGCTCTCACAATGTCGCCAACGGCATGGAATACATGCAAGCAGCAAACAAAATGCGCTTGCACTGGGCCTTGGTTGCCCTGAAGCTTCATCTTCCCCTCCTTGTCGTACTTCACATGTGAAGCCCCGGTCGAGAAGTCCCGGGTTCGGGCCGCTGAGGACTTCCACTCCGTGTTTGTCAGGAGCTCCTGATGTGGGAGAAGGGCGCTGTTTAGTTAAAGGCTTTGAGATCACAACGGGTTGTAGCAAAAGTGATGGCACAAACAATTGGGATTGACAGGGTGTGACTTGCAATGCCCACGTCACGAAATTAAAAAATGTTTGGATACGCGGAACCCTCAGCATACAATACATGGTGCAACCACCAGCATATTTACCAAAACTCCATTGCAGTGGCGAATGAAAGACTCTGCTGTGGAGGTCACTTTGACGTTCCTTTGGTGCATTTGCGAGCTTGAGCTCTAGCAGAAAAATCATAGACCGGTAGATTTATGTTTGTAAGGGCACAAGTGAGACTTCAAATGATCTTGAGAACGCTGCACGTGTCTTTGCTTGCGGCAAGCCTTTCACAACATGAGTGCTTCGATGGTTCAAGACTAAGAACAACTCTGGTTGCAACGGCTATAAATTATAGGTTGCGACTAGTGTATATACTATATCATATATATAGAGATGTGCTGCTATACTGTACCGAAGACTGAAGACTTCAGAATTCCGAGCCAACATTACTTGCTGCAATTTGCCAGCACTCCATGGCTTTCTTCGGTGATCCAAGTAGAGAGCGCTTCAACCCTGTTCACTTCTCCAGTTTCTCTTCAAACCCGGCGGCCCTCCGGTCATTCCCCACACGCCTCGTAGATGGCCGGGTCGCAGGCGTAGCGCCGGCGAAGCTCCACGTCCCTCCACCAGGTTGCAGTGCTGGTGGCAGAGTCCGCGGCGAGCAGGGCGCCACTGGTGGCGGTCTTGCTGCCCAGTTCTTTGGACATGTATTCCTCAGTGGTCTAAGGCCTCATGGATCATTTCTGGGCCCCGATCTTTAAGCACAACTGGCGACGCACTTTTGGAGGGAGTTTATGTCCGCGCTAGAAAACTCGTCATAAGCAATTGGTGGCTTGTTAACATGGTGGTTCTCATATGCGGCTTCATGTTTGATATGTTTGCCCGAATTGCTCTCCAGATGTGAGTCTTGATGATGTTTTCTGCCTAAATAAGTTTCACCACTCTCAGCAAAATATCGTGAAACAAGCTCGCACCAACCCCTTTTTTCGCCGCTGCTAAGAACTATTTTTTTTGCTCGGTTTTTGTTTCCAAGAGCATGTCGGCTACAAGTGTTCAATCCAGCACGTCGGAACGGGGGTTGGCCTTTACGGGACCATTATCGTTAATTCCTGCTAACACCATGCTAGCACCGTGCAGTCCGCGCGGACCTATAACAAAAAATGTCTGAGACGAATATTATGTGTTTGCCGCGTTCTTTTCCAGCAAACCAGCCAAGCCACTGCATGCTAGCAAATCTCTGCAGCATAAAATCCAATCCCAGCATCTTTGCTTGAAATGCTACCCCCCCTAGTGGTGCAGGATCTTCTCAACAAACACATGCCCTCTGAGACCACTTGTGTCTATGACAATCTAGCGGCTCTAGCGCCAATCTAGCGGTTTTTCTAGCGCCACCATGATGAAGTGGCAAAATTCCTTGCGTGCCGCTTCTTACGGAACAATTGAAAATCATGTCTGCAAAATAGTTGTTGTCATCTGTTCATCGAAACATGCACGGGTCTTGTGGCAAGTCTTCAGAACCAAATGGGCCAAATGGGCTAAGGATCTGCAACTTGCTTGACCTTATTAAGAAATGTAGGAGATAAAGAGAGAGAGAGAGAGAGAGAATTGTTCAAACAAGGCAAAATTGCAACTAGATTTCCGTATCTTATACCAATCTCATATACCCAGTACTTTACCCTCCCTCCGATGTGCACTTGCAACTAGGAACGCTGATTGAAAGGGAGGTTCGTATGATACAATGATACTTGTCATATATGTATATATACACAGTATATATATATATATCCCAAAAACTCCATGTATGCCATATATCCCTACATTGACCGCCCAAACCACCCCAATGTAGGCAAATATGGCAGTCCCATGGAGTGTCAGGGTATGTTGTTTTGCGCACGATGATCGCCGCAAAATCGCAGGAATCCCGGGGGAACGGGCGCGGCCACGGGAACGATTCTTGGGGGACCCAACGTCTGCCTGAGGTCTGCCGAGCGGCATGAACACCCCAAGGTCTGGGGATTTCCCTTTCCTCCTTCTGCCACCACTTGGCTACAAACTGCTCCTTAGCTTCGATGATCATGTGTTCCAATATAGGTTCTTTGTTTTGAGGCCGTATCACGGCACTAGATCACAGAATAGTCAAAACCAAAGGACACACTTTTTGGAAGATCGACGTCAAGAGACAACGCGCGCGACCCAACAAACCTCTGCGCAACTCTGACGGCAAACCGGCTGGTCATAAGAACAGTTCATACCGCTCTGTGATGTTAGCCTCATCTCAACCTCCTCAACATACTCCAGCCGCTCAGGTGGTTTATGATATGTCCGCCTCGTGATCCGGCTCTGCCATAGTCCAAACCACTTCCAGTCCATATTCATTTAGTTGCCATATAGACTATATGCATCTACTTATGCACCTATATGCTATCCACTTGAGGAGTCACTCTACCATGTGTTTCTGTGGGGTGAATGTCCAGGCTACTTCCCATTGTTGCCGCACTGACAATTGACTACTGCCACGCTGGAACATTCACCACTGCCACGCTGGAGTGCTCTCTTCTGCCAAGCTGAAACTTGACTACTGCCACGCTGGAACATTCA